GCCTGTCAGAAATCATAGCACGTCAGCTGTCTTAACCACGGTTTGTGTACTGCATCATCACTGTGTCTGTCACGCGACTCTGTTGCCCTTTCAGGCTTGAACTGATGGTAAAACTAATGACATTATTAACCGTCTTGATATTTATTTTGAAAGCTGAAGCTTTCAATTACATTTCCGACGCGTGCTTGTGGTGTTTGACCAATCACAATGCACTGGGTCAGCTGGCCAATCAGAGCAGACTGCGCTTGTCAAAGGAGGGGGCTTTGTTGAAAACAACATGTTTGAGAGGCGGGGCATAGAGGACCTACAATAATGTACAGTATTTGAAAAATAATGTGTTTTTTTAACATTAAAGCATGTCCACATATTCGGTTACACCAAATACACAAAATAATGATTTTAAAATAGCATCATATGACCCCTTTAACCATTTTTTTCCAAACCATTGTTAGATGCAGTGTTTCTGCATCTAACAATGATAGTGTTTGTATCTATTAACTATTTCTTGTCTTAACTATTTCTTATGATTTTAAAATCTGCATTGAACTTCAGATCAATCTCAAAGAAAAAGGCGGTACTAAAGTCTGATTTTGTGGTGGGTGTTCAAATTTTATCATCTTAATTCAAGTGATGAAGGATTTTGAAAGTCTGACAGTGTTGAGCACTACTGTAAGGTTAACCCTGCATGGTGTAAATGTTTGAAAATGATTAACAGTTGAAAATTAAACACTCATTACAAATTCAGAAAAGTAATCAAAAAGTAATCAAAAGTAATCAGTTACATTACTTTAATAAAGTAATTGAAAAAGTGACACTACTATTACATTTTAAATAGGGTAACTTGTAATCTGTAACCTATTACATTTCCAAAGTAACCTTCCCAACACTGCAAATGATTTATTACAATGATTCAATTTACAAGTAAATTAAGATATGTGGTCACTGTTATGGGAAAACCAGACTCATAAAACCAACAGTTTATAATCAGTTTTGTAGGAATGGATATTGGCAGGTGACTTCAGTTATATAAACGGTCTTAGTTTATCAATGAGGATACGGATGAATATTTTCTTTGTTTTACCAGAGTTGGCGAGCACACACTGACCAGATGTGATGATGGCGGTTGCCAGGAGCTGGGGACAGGTAAGTATTGCTGGTGAAGAGTAAGGAGATCTTGGTAATTCGGAGAATGCAGATAAGTAGAATATAGATTTTGAGTCCTTAAAGGCAGAGTAAGTGATTTCTGGTAGCCAATGTTGATATCTGACAGTGCCGAGGCCAGGCTCCCCGAGCTTCCTGTTCCACCATGGCCTCCTGAACTGACTGCTCCGCCATGGTTTCCTGAACTGACTGCTCCGCCATGGCTTCCTAGTCTGCCTGCTCCGCCATGGCCTCCTGAACTGTATGCCGGTTAGTCGACGTGAGCAAAATGAAGTCAAGGATTTTTAAAAATCGAATAGTCTAATACAATCGGCGAATCGCGACAGCCCTAGTCTTTACACCCTTCGCTCTTCATATAAGGGCTGCTGCGACCGCTGCCACTGTATACTAACCTTTTTTATTCCCCTCTGACAAAACTGTAATTTAATTCAGCTGTTTCAACACAGTAAACAAAACAAGCATTTTCTAGCAATGACAATTGCGCTATTCACTAATGGGACAAGAAATAAATACATTTACGAGCTGCTTTTAACTTTTGCAGATTGACTGCTTCTCTCAAAGAGTATTTCTTTACAATGTCTTTTACTGGCACTTGAACATGCTTTACTGTTTATCACAACAAAGGGCCAAGCAAGCACATGACACTGACAAGGTACGCGATACAGTATGAGACCAAATGTGACTGTATATATACAGCAGTTCTTTCTGGACCTTGAATCTAATCTGATAAGAGTGTGATATTCAAGTGATATCGGAACTCCAACCATTTCACTGTTTATATCACTCCGATTGCAATATTCCTCACATCAGGTGTCATGACGGACACCAAAATCCACAATAGTTTTATAAATAATACTGTTTTTGTGTCATGAAATGTAGTTTTAAGAGTTCTTTAGGCAAGAATGTACTTGTTTAGACTTTGTTAATAAGGGTAACATCTGTTTGGAAATTTGCTTTGACATTTTTGGAGATATGAGCTCCAAGGAACGAAATGAATGACGCATTATTGTGCCATCTCAAAGAGGCACAAAATCACTTTTACTGACTTTTTCATTAACTGTTCCCTCCTGGTGGAGTGACCTGCCCAACTCAATCCGAGCAGCTGAGTCCTTAGCCATATTCAAGAAACGACTAAAAACACATCTGTTCCATCTTTATTTGACCCTCTAACTCTAGCACTTTCATTTTTTAAATTCTACTTTATCTATTTATCCTCTTTTTTTATAAAAAAAACTAACACTAGCTTTCTATTTTTTCTATTCTATCTACTTGTTTTTCTTTGTGTGTGTGTGTGTGTTTTTGTGTGTGTATTTGTTTA